ACTACACATGATGAGGTACATAGTCTACAGGTAGGTGCTGTCTGTCATCTAGACTTAGCTTAAACTCTAGAGACTAGACTACAAAGCTACCGTTTGCTGTAAGACTTGACCGTATTCTACATGAACAGGACTCGGTAGTAGTCTAGTCTCGCGACATGCATGTATTGAAAGGAAGGAGTACCTACGGAGGCGACAACGACTACGAGAGAGATCGATTACCTCGACCGCGCAAGAGTCACACACGAGACACTCGTCTTTCTTGATGCATGATGTAAAAAGACGTGCCCATACATGCACACAGCATTGGCCATGCCCGATGGCATGGCCCAGGCGCACAGACAGCTGTGTTCGTATCTACATACACACGCACAGGTGTGCTCGACGTGTGCCTGCAACAAAGGCGACATTTGCTGCATCGAGACACACGGCAAACTCAGTGCCAGCGCGTCCAAAACGGCAAGATTAGACTTCCGCGAGGAATGCACGCGGAGCGTGACTCTCACCTCGCTATACGGCCCGTTCGTCGCTCTCTGCGCTCGCCTTCCCTCTCTCTATCTCTGGGTGGATCTCTGGGTGGCAAGTACAGCCCTGATGTGGACCGCGAGAGCACGGCCGCCGCCTAGCGCGCCGCCTGTTCTCGGTAGTTGTCGCTGCTGTTGTCAGAGATCGGCGAGATCGCGCTCTTCTTCTACTACTACTACTGCTGCTTCAGGTGTGGTGTTATTGGTTCGCCACCCGGACGCCGAGACGGTGCCAAAATGTATGTGATGACATGTCCTGCGGCAACCAATTCGTCTAATGCAATACATACATACATGCACACAGCGGCAGGATGGAGGAAGAGCCGCGTCTGTAAGATTACTACGCCTATATATGTAAGTCTAAACACGGACACGGTATTGTAGCAGTGGCACGCGAAACAGCAGCAGGTTTTAAAGAGAAAGATGCATGTGAGGTTTGGGTATACATACATACTACACATGATGAGGTACATAGTCTACAGGTAGGTGCTGTCTGTCATCTAGACTTAGCTTAAACTCTAGAGACTAGACTACAAAGCTACCGTCTGCTGTAAGACTTGTCCGTATTCTCTATGTGCAGGACTCGGTAGTAGTCTAGTCTCGCGACATGCATGTATTGAAAGGAAGGAGTACCTACGGAGGCGACAACGACTACGAGAGAGATCGATTACCTCGACCGCGCAAGAGTCACACACGAGACACTCGTCTTTCTTGATGCATGATGTAAAGACGTGCCCATACATGCACACAGCATTGACCATGCCCGATGGCATGGCCCAGGCGCGCAGACAGCTGTGTTCATATCTACATACACACGCACAGGTGTGTTCGACGTGTGCCTGCAACAAAGGCAACATTTGCTGCATCGAGACACACGGCAAACTCAGTGCCAGCGCGTCCAAAACGGCAAGATTAGACTTCCACGAGGAATGCACGCGGAGCGTGACTCTCACCTCGCTATACGGCCCGTTCGTCGCTCTCTGCGCTCGCCTTCCCTCTCTCTATCTCTGGGTGGATCTCTGGGTGGCAAGTACAGCCCTGATGTGGACCGCGAGAGCACGGCCGCCGCCTAGCGCGCCGCCTGTCCGCGGTAGTTGTCGCTGCTGTTGTCAGCGATCGGCGTGATCGCGCTCTTCTACTACTACTTCTACTGCTGCTTCAGGTGTGGTGTTATTGGTTCGCCACCCGAACGCCAAGACGGTGCCAAAAACGGTCAACCGAGAGGCCGAAATTCGTGTTCAATTACTTGATGAAAGACTAGACGACACATAATTTCGACCAGTCAATTGACTGGTCGAACTTATGTGTTGCCCTCTTTTGGCTGCGTTGCATTTTCAACATCCGGCGGACCGCCCAAAACCGGAACGAATTCCCCGGAAATGTTATCTACTGTCAGGACATCCCAATCAAAATGTTCACCCAAAGAAAATTATTCGGCGTATTGCTCAAGAGAAACCTATTATTGGTAAATAATTTCCGACGACCGAACGGGTGCTTCTATTGTTAAACAATAGAGTGTGCCACATCTTGTCCGTCGCGATTATCACCCAACCAATTGACGCGGAGAAATTGCAATCTCCCGTAAATGGCCGAGCTGGTTTTTGCCCCCCTGGTTGGAACACACCCCTCTGCAGCCAGCAGAGCCATGCGGCGTTGGCTGTGGTTGGCTGCTGCCATCGTCACCCAGACGATGCCGTTCGCCCCAGGGGCGCTCGAGTTCTTGTTCGGCGCCGGGCCGGTCGCTCGGGAGGCTACCAACATCGACGTACGTCCACCTCAGTGTGGTCGAGGAGTGTCTTCACTGCCCTCTGCTCAACCTGCAGCAGATTCTCAGCCAGCCAAAAAGAAACGTCGGCACGCCAAAGCGAAAGACCTCGAGGCTGTCCTGAACGTGGCATGCTGCCGTGGTTTGTGTGCTTCAAAGTTTGCCGGCCCAGGGAACAGCGACTACCGGCTCGATCTCCTCACAACTTGGGGTGCCCTCGGAGAATGAAGCTTTTGACCAAGTGTTTACGAAGGATGTGGACGCATGGGCCCAAAAAAAAGAAGAGACATCGAAGGCAGACGTTGGGAACGTAGAACTAGAAAGGGAGTTCACTGAGGACGAGGTTGAGGCGTGTGTGGACAAGCTGAAGTGCCCCAAAGCAGTAGGAGCGGATGGGATAGTCAACGAGTTCATGAAACTTGGGGGGAAGGGGATGATCCAGCTGATGGTATTGCGATACAATTGGGTGTGGAAAAACGAGTATACGCCAAGTAGATGGAGGGAAGGAGTGGTTGTGAACTTGTTTACGAAAGGAGACAAGACTGACCCAGGAAACTACATGGGGATCACACTGTTGAATACAGTAGGAAAAGTGTTCTGTAAGCTGCTGAACGATAGGATAGTGGGAGTATTGGACAAGGTACATAGCTTTAGTGAGGGCCAGGCAGGTTTCCAAAAGAAGAGGGGGTGCGTTGACCACGTATTCACGGTAGGGAGAATCATCCAAGGTAGAAAGAGGGCGGGAAAGCCGACGTACTGCTTCTTCCTGGACGTGAAAAAGGCATACGACACCGTGTGGAGA